GGCTAGAATGTGGCCGCGAATTATTTATTCGTGAAATATTCTCTGTACCTCGTGAATATTGCTCGGAAATATTTCACTGCTACATCGGACGTACGAGCCGTTCGATATTATTTCAGCGTTGTCGCGTCTCGCGCGCGGTCATGGTCGCGACGTGAAATTAACGAGACCCGCGTCTTTGTATTTATAATAACAAATCGGCCAGAGAGACGTACCGAGACGGAATGAGAGAGACAGTCTACTGTCCCGACGAGCCGTTTACGCCAATTTCTCGTCCACCTTCGTCGCGACGTCTTAATGACGGTATCGGGCGAGCGAGGCGAATCGCGACCGACAGCCTGCTGACTCGGGCGGCCGCGCGAGTTCGCGCTCCTCGCGGTCCAACCATGTGTTATTATCGGAATCGCGTCGATTACGATCACGCGGAGATCGCGTGACCGTTTTATTTTTAGAGGTAAAAAGCGATTTAGCGGCAATGGACGACAAGCCAACGCGTCGGCGATCGAGCGTCGCGAGGTAACGAAAGGTGCAAAACCGCGCGGACGTGTCTACTGGGTGTATCGTGACGGTCGCTTCAAAGGTAATTTACTACAAGGTGCTGCTCTTATTTGCTTCGAGCGAGCTTCTTAATTCGCCAGCGAATTAAAGCTGATAAAAACTTAGGTCAATATATAGAAAAGGGTACCCTTCACCGATTTTTTTCATTTTGAAATATGTTATAGAGGATGAAATTCTGAGTGACTTTTTCGTAGTACAATTATATGGGGGTCGCTTATAGTTTCTGAGATATTTGACTTTAAAGTTTTATAATTGTACGTTGAAGTATATTTGAAGTAGAGGTAAATATATAGAAAGGGGTACAACTCACCGGTTTTTTTCATTTTGAAATATGTTATAGAGGATGAAATTCTGAATGATTTCCTTCCATAGTTTCCGAGATATTTGATTTTAAAGTTTTAGAATTTTTATTATCCTGGAATTAAATTCCAGATATCGTAAGCTGACGTCATTTACAGTATAATCCAAACAGTTAATCCAAACATAGTGTATACATAGAAATATAGGAAACAATACATATAAGCGGGAGAGGGGCTCCGCATCTCCTCCCCAAAAAAATCCTAACCTAACCTAACTTGCATCTTTATATATTGTTGGGCGATGTTGAAAAGATCTCCTTAAAAGCCACAACATCTAATTATATGCAGATATTGTAATAAGTTAAAAGTTGAGCTAGGTAATAGATCTTAAGAGAACAATGTCCAAAAATATATAAAGACGCAATAAATTAGGTTAGGTTAGGATTTGTTTGGGGAGGGGGGGCGGGGGGGGGGACGGAGCCCCTCTCCCGCTTATATGTACTGTTTCCTATATTTAAAATGAGAGAAAACTGCTTGTCTACTTCAAATATATTTCAACGTACAATTGTGAAACTTTAAAGTCAAATATCTCAGAAACTATAAGCGACCGCCATATAACTGTATTAGGAAAAGTCACTCAGAATTTCATCCTTTATAACATATTTCAAAATGAAAAAAATCAATGAGGTGTACCCTTTTCTATATATTTACCAAAACTTATTCTAGACAATGGATTTTTATTTGCTAGCCTCTAAAATTTACAAGACGCGGCGTCCAATGGTCTCAAAGTTGAACATGTCTAACTTTGTCGCAGCGACCACTAGACGTCGCGTCTCCTAAATCTAAAAGAAGTCTCTCTCTTCACCAGCGAATTCTAAATTTTAGACGCCAGCGAGTAAAAATATCTCCAGAAACCGACCGAGGGTCGTCCAGAAAAAGCTTTTATCAGCGAATTCGCTGGCGAATTAAGAAACTTACTCAGGGCAGAGCACCGTGTAAATTACTTTTCAGAGACGAAGCTTTCCACTCTTGGCGAAAATCCGATTCCGTCAATTTTCAATTTTTGACGGAGGAGGAAGTGATATTATGGCCGCCCCCTTTACGTTTTGCACATCAACTTTGTTAATGACCAATATCTTAAAGCGGAGACGATTATGTTTCTCAAAGTTTGTTCCTCAAAGCGAAGTTTAATCGATCGCAGAGTTATATAATGTTTCTCTTACTTGGGGCGTTATTTATAAAAATACAACGACACACCTTGCACAATGGGGTAAAGAAAAACAGGGATGGTTAACGTAGTCATCCACTAAAATAGATTTAAAAAATTGCTTCTGCTCAAAAAGAAAAAACCACAATATTGTTTCATTAGAGCTTTATATATTTATTCGAAATAAACTTTTTGGAACAGTTTGCACGAGACGAAAACCTCGGGAAAGAGACCATATTATCAGCATGCGTTAGCAAAAAGCCACACTGTTGTTCAACTTTGCATAACTCGACATGTGTCGGCAGCCGAGTGAAATATTAAACAGCGAGCAAAACCCTCAATTGTGTACACACACACACACACACACACACACTCGTGTGTGATAATAGTTAAACCCAGGTTTAAGAAGAACTCGAAAGTATAATTAAGAGAGAGACAATTAAACGCCGAGATATATCTTGGAAACGTTTCGAAATAGCCGAGAGTAAAAATGCGTTGCAGCAAACGCCTCGGCTATTGTGTATACGCAGCGGCGGACTACTAAACTAATAATTCCGTAAGTAATCCTTAGAATCCTCCGTGTAATAACGAAGGTATCAAGAGGGTCCATTATACCTACAAAGGCCATAATACCTCTTCTCCTCTATCGTCGAGATCCCATCAGCAGCGATCGATAAATCTGCCCGGGATGAAATTCGCGGGGCGCAATCTGCGGCGTAAAAAGCGCGCTCCTTCAGTCGCCGACGGAGCCGAGAACAATCGGCGGCGTCTCTCTCCGAGATTTCCGTCGGGGAAACGTCGATCCCGAATTCTCGCGCGACGAAGCCCGCGAGAGCCTCGCGAGTGCTGCTGTGGGTCTCTCGCATGCGCCGCACATAAGTAACTGTACTCGCGCCGACGTGCATAATTTAAGCGCTGAAATTAACACGCCGTATTGCGGAACGTTGCGCGAGCGCGCGCGTTGCGTGCGAATTCAAATGAGGCCGTCCGGTGAGAATCCGACTCGACTGTGCGCCGTCGGATTTCCGCCTCTAATCAGTCGACTTGCACAAACCGAACGAGTCGAGCGGCATGAGAGGAAAGGAAAAGAAGCGACACACTTAATTGGTCGAGCGCGGCGTCCGCGTCCGTCGAAGCGCGTCCTCGACTAGGAATTTTGATCAGGTTCTTCACCTAATATTGATAAGGATCTAATAGGATGAATGAAAGGTAAGGTCCTAAATAAGTCAGTCCTTATAATGTCCTAACAAATGAGTGAAGAAAGACCTTTGTAAGGTTATAATGATTGGGTCCACATTAGGACCTTGATGTATCAAGCTAGTGTATGATATAATATGATTCAGTTAATCAGGTCCTTGTCGGGATCTTATTCTTATTCATCACCTAATATGATTTGCACTATCAACATTTTAACAAAACAACTTTTGGGTGTCATTTCCAAATATAAAGATGTTTGCATTGAAAAATCACTTCAGATCACTTGAATTGATATTTGTAAAATGCTATAGAAACTATCCTTTCTTTAGCAGTCAATAAATAGTTGTAAAATTAACGTGACATGCAACTTTTCTCTTTAGCACTACTTTATGTCTTGTCATCTTGTGATACTTTGTGATCTTATGATATTCATTTTATGTTTCTTTTCCGAAACATTTTACAAGTATGCTCAAGCGATCTAAAATATTATTTCACGCAAATATCTTTTTATTTGGAAGTGACATGAAAGAATTCTCAGCGTGTCATTTTTTATTTCTAATGTCATCATCCAATATAGCCGTGGCGAGTAATCAGGAGCCATAATTTGAAAAAAAAAACTTAATAAGGATTCCATAAGGCAACTCAATAAGGACCTGACTGTGAATCCCTTACTAAGGACCTGATGTCCAAATGAGGTTAACCTGGGACCAGGACCATGGGATAAATTTCTAGTCGGGTCCCTCTGTCTCTCCTTCGCCCGATTGTCTCACCCGCGAGACTCTTTCGCGAATTCTTCCCCCGCTGCGCTCCGCATCGAAACTTTCAATCTTGGCTTTCGCGCGCTCTTGGTCATTATCGCGCTCTGCCTTAAGAACACCTTGCGAATGCAATTTGCATAAGATGAGCGAGCGAAGATTTACCTGTTGCCGGCAACACACGATACACCCTCGAGCGCCCCGTAAATATTAAACCGCCCGTTAATTATTACATCGAGCGAGAGAGCGCGAGTCCGCGAACGTCGCAGCAAGTTTGCGGCAAAAGGCGATGACGGTGGGACGGATCGACGATCGTCTCAAGTGTTTGGCGATCCCTGAGAAACATCGTCGCACGATCGGCCAGCTATTTCTATGGGAGAGAGAGACTCGCCTATCCTATCCTAGAACGACACACTATCAGGTGGAGAGTAAAGACTAGACGCGTTTTCTCGAATCGTAGCTCTACGAGACAGATAATCGACGAGGCTAACTTCAACGACGAATCTAGATGTTGCGGTGGGAAGATTCTCCGCCGTTGAAAATATTGCCGATCGCCTCGCGGGGCGCCGCGCCGTCGGCCAGACATTCTCTCGCGAGAGGAAAGAAAGAAAGAAAGAAAAAGAGAGAGAGAGAGAGAGAGAGAGAGAGGAAGAAAAAGAGAAAAATTCCCCGGGAGCCGGGAATCGGCGGGTCCCGAGCGCGCTCAAGTGTTTCCCACGAATTGAAGCTGGAGCTTGTCGAAAGTCCACATGAAGAGACATCCTGGAGTTCTCAAGCGTGACGACAAGTCGCAAGATCGATGCTCGTTGAAATTAAATCGCGCGAGAGGAATCGAGAGTTTGCGGATTCTCTGTCAAGCCGACTCACGCCGCGGCGCGATCGGTTGCTTTTCAACGGCGTCGGACAGAATATAGGAGTGTCGGGGAAGAGGGGGACGGTGTCTCGAAGTGCCGGGTGTCCGATAATCGAATTTACTGGTCGACTCACCAAATTGTCCAGGTGCAGGTGGTGGCCGTAATCCCGGGGGTTACCTCGCGAGCCGCCCGGCGAGCTGTGTCTGCGACCTCGTCCGTTCTCGATCTCGTCATCGTAGTCCTGAAAAAGAGGACACAATCGAGTCTTATCACGGTCGATTTGAGACTCGCTCTCCGACGAGCAGTGTCGTGTTCTCTCTTTGCTTTTTCCTTTTTTCTACTCTCACAAAAGTATCCGCGCGCGATCTTGTTTCTCGGCGCGAGACAAACTTCGCGATTCCCGAACGGCGCGGCGGCCTTCCAGGCGCGCGCGTATCCCTTTCCGTCCGCTCGGCGTGTGAGAGAGAGAGAGAGAGAGAGAGAGAGAGAGAGAGAGAGACGGCTCGACGAGCAAGAAGGCGGCTCTGGATAATCCGCATCTAAACTTTGATCCTCCGCCGACGAGTCGCCGGCGGCCGAATGAAAATCAATCCGGACTTACGATCGAGCTGAAGCGCTCGCGCGCGTCTCTCTTTTCTCTCGAAACGTTCACGCGACCGTCGCTCTCTTTTAGAGCGCGGGACAGACGCCGTCGGCAGACGCATGAATGCTCTCTCGCTCTCTGATTAACGAGAGCGGAGCGGAGCGCTTGAGATTTTCTACTCTCGTCCGATTTCCATTCTAATCCCGAGCGGGCGCGCGCCGCGCCGCGCCGCGCCGCCTCGCCCATCGAGCTGTCCACCGCGCGGCGCGGCGCGGCGGTTCGAAAAAGGATACACGCCCGCAGTACCTGATTGTCGCACTCGTCGTCGTTGGAGAGGGCGAGGTCGGAGGTCGTCACTTGGTGCTGCTGCGCCCTCCTGCAGCTCACTCTGCAATTGGCAAAATTTCCATTTCAGAAGCACCCGCCAGCCCCGCCGCGATCGCTCTTATCAAATCGCGCGCGCGCTTCGTCTATTTGCCTTATCGGTATCATCGGTAGAAAGAGATAGAGAGAGAGACAGAGAGAGAGAGAGATAGGTAGATAGATAGAAAGATAGATAGATAGATAGACGATCCCTCGGACAGAGATTGATCGCTTCGACCGGAAACAAAGGGGAGAGGTGATCGATAGGGGAAGCGCCACGAGATTGGCAAAACTCTTGAGAATCTCTCTCGTGGTCGATTTCGGAAAGCCGCGACCGTCGTGAGTTTTCCAGCGACGATATAATAGGAGGAGGAGAGAGACCGAGAAAGAAGGAGAAAAACGAACCGACGTAATTTCGAGAGGCTCGTCGTCCTTGACTCGGGGACACGCGCCCTCGAGGAGAGCCTGGTAGCGAAAGGGGTCCACCGCGGGTTTCGAGTCGACCTACCCTTCGTCTCGAGTGTCGTGTGTTCGTTGTGACGAAAGCGCGCATATTCTGGCAGACGAGACCGCTAAAGTGAATGAATAAGCGCGGCAACTTTTCGCGGAATCGCGCGGCTCCGTGTCCGCGGGGGGGGGGGTGCCGCCGGCTTTTGTCGTTGGTAAATTTATCACCATCATTATTATTATTATTATGCACCGCGCCCGTATCAAAGCAGCGCGCGGCGTCATTGTTAATATTACCCGCGCCATCGAGATGGAAATTATTCAGTATGAAATCGTGTAAATCAGCGCACGCGGGCGCGCGATGTGACGACAGGAAATAAAAGCGCGCTAATGGAGCTGCGGGAGAGCGGATTCTGCTTGAAAAGCGAGAGAAAGAGCGAGAGAAAGACGGAGAAACAGCGAGAGCTAGAGTTTTCGGCGAATGACCGATCGCGGGATCGTTGAGTCGCTGCCGAGATAGCGGCTGTATGTATATGTGTGTGTGTGTGTGTGTGTGACTGCAAGAAGAGCGTTTCTCACCCGGAAAAATTAGAGAGCGGTATGGAGCACATGGGGATTACAACATCGCGGCGCGGGGGGCCATCGGCGGCGACTGGCGCGATCAGTGCGGCTCTTGGCTTGGATCGGCAGAATGGCGATATATAGCCGTCCCACTGCGGACATTTGCGACTAGCAGCAGCTCGACATCCGACAGGTTGTCCGTCAGGTCGCCGTGCGCGCACTCGTTTCACCGGCGATTCGGCCGCTCGCTCGCGCGTGAGAGAGATCAGCCATTCGATTCTTTCAGCGGGAGACTCGCCGAGATCTCCCCTGCCGCGTCTCGCTCTCGCGCTCGATCGGCTCGATTGTTTCTTTCGATTTGACAGATTCGGCTGGTCCCATCCGTTTCCGCTGAATTGTTGAACTGTGGCAACGAATATCCGCGTGTTGTCGCGTGGGCGCAATTGAAGAAGCGCCGAATTTATCAGGCGGCGAAAAACGGGCGACACTTAGACGCCCTTAGACGCGCGAACGAAGCAGCGAGCGAGAGACGTTCGCGCGTTCGCGGGACCGCCGTCCGGTCGCGAGCCGAACGTTTCGTTGGCGAAGCGATTACGGTACTGGTGACCGACGAAGCTCTCTCATTTGTTTCATTCTGTTACCCGGGATACGACCTAGTGTGTAAGAAAGTACGGCGGCGTGAAAATTTCAAGGGCTCTCGTCGCTCCCTGCCCGTTTAAGACTGCGCCGCGGGCGCGGGTACCAGCAGTAGTAGCTCTCTATCTACGGGGTGTCGCGGAAAACACGTGCTCGCTCGACAAGCTCCGGGATTTGCCGCGATTTAAGCGATTTCGCCGAGATATATGTACAAGTGTGGCTGCGTGTGTACGTATGTGTGTGTGTGTGTGTGTGTGTGTGTGTGTATCCACAGGTGTAAGAGGAAGGCATTTCGGTGAAGTATAAAGCTAGTTTCACAAGCCTGTCTTGTGAGAAAAGTAAAGAGCGAACGAGAACGGAGGAGTCTCCACCGACGAGTAAAGCGCGAATGGCCCCGTCGCGCGAATTTAATCCTCCCGTAATGAATTCCAAGCGGATTCCAGCTTTAATCGCAAATTTCACGCCGATTTTAATTATTGAGATAATTAAAATGTCGAAGATCAAAAGGCGACGAAGGGGAGGGTGAAGCGCAACGAGACGGTTCTCGCGAGTCAAGAGGATTTCCTCGACGGGGATGGCGGTGGTGGTGCATTCTCTCTCGTTTGCCGGAACCCCACCCTCCTCTTCTCCCCTTCTCCGTCCTTTGGCGCTTTCTCTCTCTCTCTCTCTCTCTCTCTCTCTCTCTCTCTCTTTCTCTCTCTTTCTCTCTCTCTCTCTCTCCACCTGAGACACCCTGTGCATACACGTTTCATGACGTCAGAAGCGGGGAAATCTCGCTCGACCTGTCGACTTTTTCGCGGTGCTTGTCGCCGCGATAAAACAACTCACCTATTTACGGCGCAAGAAACCGCGCGCTCGCGCTCTCGTCAGCTGAAACGCGCCTCTTTGCCGTGCCATTTTGTTGGTGCAACACAATTTCCGATCGCGAGCTCGTTTGACGACACTGTTGGGCGCTGTGTATAAATAATAACGTCCGACATCGATCGAATCGGCAGCTCCGAGAAGAAGACGCGCCGGACGGGATTTTTCATGATAATTCTCTTCGTGGGAGCGAACGGGTGCCGTTTCTTTGAAGGAATTTCCGATTCGGCGGGATTTTAGAGGTCACAAATAGCGTGAGTTGTCGAAAAATGTCGGGCAGTTCGTTCCCACGACATCCTCTTGGCATTTATTAGTCCAGAATCCGCGAATCTCTCGTGACATAACTGTGGCGATGAGGTACAAAGTTTCTTCCCTCGTCGTGTAAGAGGGAGAGAGAGAGAGAGAGAGAGAGAGAGAGAGATAGGGAGAGAGAATGGGGGCAGAGAGAAGCGCTTTTTGTCTCGAAAAGATAGTTTAGTCTCGGCTCGTTTCGGCGCGACAAAAGATAGTCGAGGTAGAAAGATTAAATCGACGAACACAGGCAGAGGCGTATATTGAAAGCGCGCGCGGATATTCAAAGGAGATCAAAAGCGGAACGTTTTCGTTGGTCCATTATCGGCGAGGGGAACCAACGTGAAAGCTATCAAAAGCTCGCAGCGCGAATTCCATCTTCCGCGGCCTCCGGGCCGATATCTCGCCGCTCGCTCGCGTGCCTCTCTTATCGATCCCGCGCGAAATTTACCTTCGGCCACGAGCCGACGCGCGGATCGCGCGCGATCACTCGCGGAGAAAGTCGGCGCGAATTCAAGTGAGACGCGACGGAAAATTGCGGCGAACACGCTTCATTTTTTCTCGTGCGCGCGTCCTCTAATTTGTGCCAACAGCAGGGACTCTCGCGAGAGGGTCAGCGGTGTGTGTGTGTGTGTGTGTGTGTGTGTGTGTTTGTTTGTGCAAATTCTACACCCTCTCGGTCCTCTTGACCGAAATTGAATTATCGGGGATCTGCAAAGTCTTCAATTCAATCGCCAAAGTGTAATTCTGCGTTCTCCCGTCGCTGTAATTTCTCATGCAACTCGAGGAGTCAAGTGACGAAGTAATCGCCGATGACACCTCTTTGTAACTCCTCGAGAAGGCGGACAATCTTGCCGATGTTCATCTGATGTGTCCACACGCGCAACGATGCTTCTCGCGCGATCGCATAAGCGAGACAGGAATCATTTCTCCGGGAGAAAGAATCTCGCTGTGTGTCTGTTATAACGTTACGACGATTGAAAATTTGGCTCATTTCGCCCCGGCCGCCTCCGCCAACGACGAGAAACAGACGCAACGTCGTTCCACGCCGCTAATAATCGGCGAATCGAACGGCGAAAATACGTTTCCACAGTCGCTGTCGCAAGGCGTTCTCGGTGCCGCTTCCCGGCAGCGTGAAATCGAAAGGCCGGCCGATCACGAGCGTGTCGCGCAGGGAAACGGGAACGGTGAAAAGCGCCGTGGTGCGCGCAGACATACATACATTCGCTGCCGTCTAAATCCACCGCGATTATCGATTTCCCTCCCACGCATCGCCACGTGGAAAAGGCCTTTGTGGCAATTCGCCCTTCGCTCGTCCGGCGGATTAGAGCGAAGCGCTCTCCAGCGTCATCGCCGCCGCCGCCGCCGCGCCGGCAGCCGGAAACACGCGTCTTCGTCGAGCGGAGATTGACGTCGATCGGAGAGTCGTCGAGTGCGACGGATTCGATCGTCTCCAGAGCCGCGCGATAATGACTCTCGCGTTCGCTCGTCGCGAGCGAATTCACACGTAAATTGCCGGCGCCGTCGCCGCCGCCGCGGTGATTTCTCTTTCGTTCGCGCGTAAGGCGCGACTAATTACACCACGCGAAATGAAACGTCTGGTCGATGCGGAAAGTTGAAGGAAATTCGCTGACGAGTGCACGCGACGTCGCGACACGTGTCTACCGCAATCTCGGCTGCGCGACCTTTGAATCTCGAAACGATTCGTGGAGATGATCGCGACAGTCGAACGCGCACACTGGGGCCAGATGACATTTTTTTGGTTGAAAATTCTCTAGAGACCTGAATTTCCAACCGATCATCGGCACCAATGGATCCTGAATAAATTCCAAAGAGATCTGTCTAGCCGAATTTTGAAAAAAATTATTGCTTCAGGGTTCATGGGTTTAGAGATTGTCTTAAAAGTTTATCGTTTAAAGTGTACAGTGTCTTGGGTTCGACCTCAATGGGTTCGAGCCTATGGTTACTGAATGCGAGACCCCAGAACTTACAATCATCTTTTAGAAAACTCAGAATTTCAATGAGGAGTTTGTGTATTAAATCCGTATTTGTCTCTACATTTGTCCTGCACATTTACGTGTACGCAATTGTCGGATGTTTCTCACGTCTTTGTTGCGCGATTCTTGTGCTTCTTCTGACAATGAACAAGAAGAACAATGACAAGAAGAAAATGATCGATTATTTTTGCACCATGAAAGAGAACATACAGTTTTGCTGTTTGCTGAGCGTATTCGGTTTTGTGCTTAACGGGTCTATATTTAATGTTTTTGTATTTTTGTACTTTAGGCATATGAGTTCGGGTTAATGGATTTCTGGTTCAAGATCTTGATAAATCTCGAGGTGTCTGTTGATTGACTTCATAGTTTCAATCCGCTGAATACGCTATTAGATAGAAATAAGTGTCGAATAATGAGTATTTCCCAAGTTTCTCGCATTTAACGATAACTTTTCCTCTTTTGGGGCTAGTAATTCGAGAAAAAAATTTCTTTTTTAATTTTGGCGAGACAGATCTCTTCGGAATTTATTCAGGATCAACCTCATCCACTGGTGATCGGTTGGAAATTCAGGTCTCTAGAGAATTTGAACCAAAGAATGTCATCTGGCTCTACTGTGCGTTGGTCGCATCGAATTTTTCTCTCGCCTTTCCGAAACGCGTCGGGAGAACTGAACTCGCCGCGGCCCCGCCGATTGTCGCGCGTTAATATCCAGTGACCGTACGAGAACTTAATTGATGGTCGAATAAACAGAGGTACGGCAGACACGTGTAATTCCACTGGCCATGTATCTTTTTCATCGGTCTCCGTAGCAGCGGTGCCATCAATTTCCCAAATGCATTTAGACTTAGTATGCATTTTAATGAAAGCGCGGCATTGTCGCGGGATCGGTCGCCGGCGTTTGACGCGTTAATTTCTGATAGAGAAAGAGAGAGGTGTTAATCGCGGAATGAAGCACAGTTCGCGCCGCGTGCCGCGTCGGTCGGCACGCTTTATTCCCGCCAATTATTCTGAACAAATGACAGCGATAAATAATTTCGTGGGGCGGGCGGAAAAGCGCGCGATAAGGATCCACGAGGATCCTTCGAGGAAGCGAGAAACGTGAAACTCGGCGCTCGGCGGGAAACTGCCTCGAGGCGGTGCACAGTGAGGCCAGGTGACATCTTTTGGTTGAAAATTCTCTAGAGACCTGAATTTCCAACCGATCATCGACACCATGGATGAGGTTGATCCTGAATAAATTCCAAAGAGATCTGTCTGGCCGAAATTTTGCAAAAATCATCGGTTCAGGGTTCATGGGTTTAGGGTTCGTCTTAAAAGTTTCGAGGCTCGAACTTAATGTTTCGAATTTTATAGCTGAATATTCAACGTCGAGTATTATTAGGTTCTCGAGCTATGGCTCGAGGATTGGGCTTGGACTGTTTGGGGCTTAATATATTGGGGCTTCATGCATCCACGAGCTAAAAAGTTCTCGGATTGATAGATTTCTAGGTTGATCGGCTTAAGACTCCAAATCCCTCGGTTTTGTGCTTAACGGGTCTATATTTGATGTTTTTGTACTTTGGACATATGAGTTTTTGGGTTAATGGGTTTCTGCTTCAAGATCGATAAATCTCGAGGTGTCTGTTGATTAGTTTCATAGTTTCAATCCGCTGAATACACTATTAGATAGAAATAAGTGTCGAATAATGAGTATTTCCCAAGTTTCTCGCGTTTAACGATAATTTTTCCTCTTTTGGGGCTAGTAATTCGAGAAAAAAATTCTTTTTAATTTGGCAAGACCGATCTCTTCGGAATTTATTCAGGATCAACCTCATCCATTGGTGTCGATGATCGGTTCTCTGGAAATTCAGGTTCTCTAGAGAATTTTGAACCAGAGAATGTCATCCGGCTCCGCTGTGCGGCAGACCGAAGCGGCCGAAGCAAGAGTAAAAGGCCAGAGAGCAATTTACATCCTGACCCTCGTCGCGAGACCGCGCATCAGGATCTCCGACGTCCTCCGGCCTTAGCGGAGGCGGGAGGAGGCGCGAGTTATCGCTCCAGATAATTTCGAGCGAAACTGAGCGAGTACGACGCCGCGCGCGCGCGCGCGCGCGGCGCGGCGTCATCTCCTTAACTGCCGGCTCGCGGCCGACGGCGAAGGTGAAGTGCGTTGAACCTGAACCGTTGCTGAAACGCCTCGCGCACACGCGGCCAGCGCGCGCTCCCCGCGTCTGTTTACATACCTGGCCTCAGCTACTAGTTCGAGAATGCCGAAGAGAGCGGCGATCGGAACGCCGGCTGGGCTTTGCGAAGGGGAGATTAGGTGAGGAAGGGAAAGAGGCACTCGACGTAACAGGAAATGAAATATCGATGTACCTGTGGTGCGTAGGTATATGTGTGTGTGTGTGTGTGTGTGTGCACGCGCGCGTTACGTGTCCTACGGTGGAGAAACACCATTACGTTATCATCCGTCCCGTCCCCCCCCCCCTGCCCGCCGGCCGCTCCCTGCTCGACTCGGAAGCCGCGGTTTTTCTTTTCGTTGTCTCTTTCCCGCACCCTCCCACTCCTCGTCCCCGTTCGGCCGCTTTTCCCTCTTCGTTCCTTTTTTTGCCTGGCCGGCCTTCCCAAGAGTGCACTTCGCCCGGCTCGAAACGCGCGGAACTTTGGACCCTTTCGCAACCTCTGCTCGCGCCGCGCAATCTTCTCGAGCGTTTTCGTCGACTATGCGTGCCCCGTCACCGCGGCGGAAGTGCGCCGCTGCTCGGCAGCGGGTTATCGTTATACAGGATGTGCAGCCGGCGAGGGCCTCGCTACTCGCAACGGCGACTGCTCGGATTCGCGAAGTCGCCGTCTCTCGTGATTTTCGCATCGGCTTCAGCCGGAAGTGACCGATCGCACGCTTGTCGGAAAGCGTCTCGGCCTCGGCTCAGCTGGACACCCTGCATGCTAAGCGGTGATCTTTGTTGCTGAATACCTCCTTGGTTGACAACGATCGTCTCCGAGAGAGAGAGAGAGAGAGAGAGAGAGAGAGAGAAAGAGAGAGAGAGAGAGACGAACGAGAAGAAAAAGACTGGGGGGGGGGGAAGAAGGGAAAACGCTATAGATTCGCTAGATAGTCTCGAAGGCTTTATCTAGACTAGGATCTTTCGTAGGATTAGCGCGTCAGGGTCAAAGAGAGAAAGAGAGAGATAGTGCGGTCGACCTGGTCCTGGGCATGTCGGCCCCGAGACCGCTGTCCTCGCTCGGCGACCTATACTCCTGGTTATCCCGCGGCAGAAGTGGGCCCGTCACTCCCAGGGGATCTCCCTCGACGTCCACCAGTCGTCCCGGACGGCAACAACCACCACCGGGCACACCCCTCTGCGGGAAATCAGATCAGATGTCCTGTCATGCTGTGCGCCCTTTCCGTTGCGTTAAATTTGTTTTTTTTTTTTCTTTTTTCTAATTTTCCTATCGCGTGGAGAGCGCTCTCTTTCTTTCTTAGGCTTCTCTTGCGGCTATCCTGTTTTTTTCTTTCCTTTTCGCTTTCGTTTCCGCGTGCCTCGAACGAGATGCGATCGGGCCGATCGATGATTTGTGTCTGCGACAAGAGACGGTACACGTTTGACAGTATCGCACTCTTGCGCGCGTGCGGCTCTCAGTTTCCTCGAGATAACAATTAACAACGTCCGAGGACACGTCGCTTGAGCTTTTTCTCGAGCTTAATCTCGCAGGAATAAAGGTTGATAATTGCGTCGACCGCGGTGAAACCGGACGGGGATTGAAGAAACTTAATTGGCAGCCGGGGCGCTCGAACGAGATCCGATTGAACAAATTATTTAACTAAAAAGCGAAATTAATAGGACGTATCGGGTGATATTTACAATAATCGAGATAACGATTGCTAAGTCCCAGCGGATTTAATTAACGAGAGATGCATTTTATTATTACAATCGACTCGCGCCGTGTGGGTTCCGAGGAAAAAGACATCCGACGTGTACGCGCCCCCTCTGTGCCGGGATCCTTTTGTCTCCCGAGGAAAGGCACGTCGGGCTGCTTGACGCGGCTCGTTAATTTCGGGCATCGATCGATTTCGAGCTCTCTCTCTCTCTCTCTCTCTCTCTCTCTCTCTCTCTCTCTCATTTAGCTCTCGGTGAGCCATTGTGGCCCGTGCGCCCCGGCGAAATTAGCAATCGAACAACAATCTATCATCGATCGACGCGTCGCGCGTCGCTCCGCCGCCGGCAACATTTGTCTCCGCGCTGCAGCTGACACTTGATTTACGACGCCTGCCTCTCCAACTTCCCTCGGAAGATCGCGCTCGAGGATCGAGAACGCATCGATTTCGCTGGAGACTTTCGCGATACCGGCGGCGCCGTGAATCAAGCGTCCGGCCCGTCGATCCGATTCCTATCGGTCGTACGGGAAGAGGAAAATGATGATGATGAAGAGAGAGCCGCTCGCGAAAAACTGGCGACAAACTCGCGCGACGTGTCAACTCGCGCGAAACAATCTCGGCTCGGTACTTTGCTCCGAGCGTCTCCTTTTCTTTTCTTTTCTTTCTGTTTTCTTTTCGCCAGATCGGCCAGAATCGCGAAAACGGTGACAGGTTTCGTCTCGATTTCGTCGATGCTGTTTTTCGCGAGAGTAAAAAGACAGAGAGAGATAGAGAGATAGATAGATAGAGCGAGAGAGAGCGAGAGAGAGAGAGAGAAAGAGGGCGGAAGATGGTGTGTGTTTGACGAGCAGAGCAGCTTTCTACTTTGTCCGTTGGCAGCAAGCATCTAACAGATCGTACCCAGCCAAGAAGAGAAAGAATGCGTGCGCAAGACCGTGTCTCTCGTCGTCGCGACGAGAAACGTCCGTTTTCTATTGTTAAAAGTGCAAACGTTCGTTGTCAATTAGGTCGCAGTAGAGAGCGGCAGTTTGTGTTCGAGTGACAACGTCGCTCATCACGCAATTGCAGTCGTCATGTGTGTTGTAATTATGTAGTCTCGGGTTCAACTGTGAGATTCGTATGTAGCATAAAGTTTACGCTATACGCTCGTTTAATTTGTATACTACCAACGCAATGTAAGTTATACTACATACGTGCCTCAATTTTATCATTTTGTAATATAGACTGAAACATACTCACACCCACACACACATACACACACATATATATATAGATGAATATTAACGAGAGAGATATATATACGTTAAGAGAATAGCATAAATGATTAAATGTAAGCTACATTTCGTGGCAAACTATAGTTATACAACATAACGTGTATAAATGACATTCCGGCGCTTTGTCGTCGATCGTTTGCGATCGATTCCTCCGACTTGACGTTTTTGCGTATCGAGTGTGTGATCAATCATTGAAACGTGCTCCTTCTCTCTCCGATTAACATTATCAGGGAGAGAGAGAGAGAGAGAGAGAGAGAGAGAAAGAGAGGAAACAAGTAAAAGGAATCGATTGTCGACGAGTTGGCCGGTAAACAACGACTAGTCGCAGGGAGCAAGGTAACCACTATAAGCAATACTATAATAAATAATAGTAATTAGTAATAGCGTTAGATAGAGAGATAGGCGAGCAAAAGAGCCAAGAGAAGAAGAAGAAGAAGAAGAAGAAGAAGAAGAAGAAGAAGAAGAAGAAGAAGAAGAGAGCGTAAGAAGAATAAAAGACAATGCCGAGACAGCGTAAAAATTGCAGAGGAAGAGGAACAGAAAGAGTGGCAGACGCGCCGGGGAAAATAAAAGCGCTTAGCCGAACGAAGCTCGAGCTCGAGCGCGATTACTACGTCCATCGAACAAACGGCATGATCAATGCGACAAATTAGCGATTAATCGCTGAGTTACGATCACATGACGGCTCGTCGACGAATGCGGGAAATTATGACGATGAGGCATGAGAGAAGGGAAAAAAACCAGGACGAAGCGCTCGCTTCTATGCGAAGCTAACTATGCGCGAGTCGAGATTTCAACCCCACGTTGACCCTGCAAATGCCTGTGTAGCGCAATAGTCGAGAGAAAGAGAGAGAGAGAGAGAGAGAGAGAGAGAGAGAGAGAAAGAGAGAGAGAGAGAGAGAGAGAGAGAAAAGAGAGAGGGGAGTCGATGGTCCTTCAACTTGGCCGGCGCTTGCAGGATTAATGTGGAATGAAAATTTCAACCGGGTGGGGGCGGGGGGCAAGAGGCAAGAAAAATAGATGCTCGCTCGGCTAGCGTGATTTGTTTGCTTGCGTTTCACGCGCAGTACAGAAGCTCATTATTACGTCTGTTGGAGTCCGAGATTTAGTGTACACATTGAATCTCGTTGGACTTAATTGCACGAGCCGCACCGGAACACTAACGTGTATACACAGGTATTACACATTTCCAGGCTGTAGAATTTCCAAGGGTAACGGTCGCCGTTAACGGTAAAGGCTTGCGCTTTTCTCTCGGCCAGGCAGTGATTCGCGCGTGAACCTCGCGCGCGCGCGCGCGCGTAATGCGAGACGGCAACGCGAACGGATCGCAGTGAAACGTGACTATTTATCACTGCGTAATTATCAACACGATGGAAACGGGCCGAGAGAAAGAAATCGATCGCCGCGTCTGCGCGCCATTTGTTCAACGAACCTGATGTTTTCCTCGAATGAGAGGGAGTTTTATTCGCCCGAGCAACTGTTATTCTCTCAACGCCGAGAGAAGGACAGAGACAGAGAGCTGATAAAGAGAGAGAGAGAGAGAGAGAGAGAGAGAGAGAGAGAGAGAGAGAGAGAGAGAGAGAGAGAGAGAGAGAAAGAGAGACGAAGGGATTGCAAGTCACTTTCCTAAAGACGAGTCATGCTTCGTCGCAGAGGATAACGACAGAGCAGAACGATCAAACGGAATCTCGAATAGGATCGATCGTAACGGCGATCGATCGATGCGCACGTGCGGCGGCCGCGCGGGGATGCCTTCGCGAACGGCCTCCTGGAGGATCGGGGGCACCCTGCCATGGGGTCCTCCGCGGCCGTTCTCCAACTGCGTCTTCCTTCCGTGTGGCGTTCTCCTCCTCGCACCTCTCCAATCGATACTCGATCGCGACTGTATCCATCCTCCTTGGCGACCGTCTGCTCGCTCGCTCGCTCGCTCGCTCGCTCGCCCGCCTGCGTTATCTGTCCCGATAACATCGCCGATAACGAGCGATAACTCGGCTCCCAAGTCGACTTTGTGCGCTTTCCGCGCTCTCGTCCTTCGATCCTTCGAAATCGCCCGCCGCTCTCTCTCTCTCTCTCGCCGAGGTCGCTTTCGGAAATTCGTTAGCCCTGCGACGAATAATTCGCGTCCCCCCTCCATCTCGCGCGCGATCCGTCGATGGTTCGACGATCAGTCTTGCGGATTGTTGCCGCGAGAATTCGTGCGACGCGAATCACAACTCGTGTATCCTCGTCGCGCCGCGAAGTGAGCGCTCGCAAACCGTTAGGAGCGTACGCAACTCGGTGAGTTATTGCGGAATAGTAAGGATCGTTGTTACACGGCGAATTCAACGCACGTCGGAATGGTATCGCGGAGCTAACGACTCGCGCCGATTATTTTTCACATCTCGTGCGGAATGGATAGAGCCGCGGCCGGAGAGACAGAGCGGAGCGCGATGAATTCCGCCTTTTAGTCGCGGCGAATATTCCGGATTATGCTCTTGCGACTACGCCGCGATAAATCACTCGCCGGTGAAACATTTGTTCGGAATGAACTTTCCGTTCGGAACAAGTTAGGCCTCGCGCGTTCTCGCTCGGGGAAACGATGGTGCAATTTTCGATTAGGAACGCGCGCGCGCGCGCGCGCGAAGAACTCGCTCGCGAAGTGAGACGGGAGGGCCGAGTTTTTTCCCTTTGTCGCTTTTCCTGCGGAGCTCATCGACAAAGGGCGGGAACGCAAAGCGATTCCGAGTGTCTCAACAATTAAGGTGAACAGAGATCCACAGAACAGTGAGTAAGGAAAAAAAGAAAAAGAGAGAAAGAGAGACAGAGATGGAGAGACGAACATAGATGGTGAGACAGAGAAAGTCGATTCTACACATCATCGTAGAAAGACGAGAGTGACGAGCGAAGAAGTGTACATTGGTGTGTCTGTGCATGTAACAATGCGCGCAGCGCGCGTGCCATCTCCTTCGAGTTACGTATGTGGTGTGTGTGTGTGTGTGTGTGTGTGTGTGTGTGTGTCTGTATAAGCTCGGAGTTATGAATAGAGTGTGTAAGGACGAGTCAAACTTACCGGAAGATCGTGCAGCGAAGGAGTCACTATCAAGTCCGAGTGAGCGCGGTCACCTTTTCTCTGGAAAAAAAAAAGCAGAAAGAGCCGTCTTAAAGGCGGACGCTCGTGCTGGATTTTGGGCTCCCCCCGGCTTTTTCACCCTGCCACTCCGCTTAATCGCGCGATTCACACGTCGGGCTTTCGCGATTTGCAAAATTCAACGCGAGCATTGGAACGTGTTCCGCGCGCGCTCTCCCGCGACTTCCGCTATTCTCGTTTCATTGTCACCGTGATGACGCCGATGTGTGCAATGCGTCTTCAACTCTCCTCCGTAGCTAATTAGGCCTGCGTTGATTGTCGTCCCTTGAAACTCGTCTCACGCGAGACTGTCGGGTCTGAATTTTCGCAGTCAAATTTTTCGAGTCGCGATTAGAGATATAATGTCACGTGTATCGTACGGTTTTCAGATGTGGCTCTAAATTTATTAAAATTTAGAACTTGGCGTTAGACAAATTTCAAAAATCGCAACTATTAATACCGACCTTAGACTCGCATTGATAGTCGTCACTTGATACTTATTTTTGGTGAATTCTACACTTTGGGAAAAAAAATTATATTCAAATTAAACAAATATTTGTTCGAATACGACTGTGAATACATTTATTCAAATTAAGCGACTAATTTCTAAAATAAAATACAGAGGTTCTGAATGTAAACTTTTTTCTTGAATTTTAGAAAATAATCGCTTAATTCAAATAAATGTATTCGCAGTCGTATTCGAACAAATATTTGTTTCATTTTTATACAATTTTTTCTCAGTGTATTTTTTCTCAGTGTAGATCAGACTTTCATATGTGAGTGACGTTTTATTTACGATTCCGTCTCACCTGACCACAAACTCACATCTGACTTTAAATATCTCGAAAACCGAGACCGAAGTTTCAAGTAACAATCGTCAGTATGCGCGAGTCAAGGAAATTCTCTTATCGCAAAGTTGACTTTGCTGATTCCCCGAGACTGGCGAGAAATCCCGAAACTTTGCTTCGATTCGAGACTCCGATCGCTTTAAAACGGATACAGTTAGCGGGGCTAAAATCGGTCTCGCAAAGACTCACCCTGGTCATGGCTATTCGGGGTCTTCTGTAGACGAGGTAATCGAAGGCCTTCCTGTCCTCGCTGTCGACGAGCTCCGTGAGCTCCGTCAGCAGCGTGCGCTTCTCATCGGTGTTTAGGAGGTTGTCCAGGCTGATGACCAAATCCTCCACGGTCAACCTCCTGGTGCTGTAGTCAGCCAAGAGCTGCGAGAGCGCGGCTCTCTCGCTTCGGGCGAGCACGACTCTCGCCTTCTCCTCCACCATGGCGGCGGTGTCCGCGGAAACGGTGTGGACGCCACCCCGGTGTCTCCATTCGTTCGTACTGCTCCTTGATTTCCGAGAGGTCGGTCGGTCGGTAATTAGTTGGCAGATGTTACGTCAAAATGATCGACGAAGTGAGACGAGTGAGGTACGCGCGCTGGGAGTCTCAGTCAACGCGAACTCCGCGTTTCGAGCTCAATTAGTTGAAAGCGTCGAGAGAGAAGGTTCGTTCATTGCAGAATTCGATCATTTGATCGGGAAAGGTGTGTCGTACAGATTCACGCTGAAAGCGCCAAGTTTTGTGCCGACACTCTCGCTTAATTACGATTACTAATTGTACGGTCTGGAGCGTGTTGTGAGCTTTTATTTCTCGAAGCAAAACTTTTCGGAGTTAAAAGTGAGACGGAAAGAGTCTGAAATTTCTCTCCGCGCGCGTTTAAAGCTCCGACGATTTATTCGAGGTTCGAGGCTGGCAATTAATTTCGTTCGATTACCGCCAACGCGCGCGCGGCGCGCCGCTGAATTGCTCTTCGCGACGCGAATAAAACGACATATGCCGGCCGAAGTATAAAAGATATGTGCGACTTACGCGGGGCTGGGTGGCCGATGATTCCCTGGACTCTCCAGAAGCATAGGATCGTGCTCGGGATATCGAGAGGTTGGGATCACTATGGGTTGGCTGGTGGTACACGAATGCGGCACCTTGCCAACGTCGCGTATCAGCAGGCTCATCCTCTTGTTTGTCTTGAGGAACTGGACCGCCTCGTCGTGCGTCGCCTCCTCGAAGCTCTGTCCGTTCACCTCGATGATCTGATCGCCCACCTGCGATCCATTTCAGAGGGTCGCGGATTAATCGGGACTCGTCACAAAGTACGTCACGAAATCGTCGAGAGACCGATATCGAATTCTCGACCGATCCGACTAGCGATCGACTCCGATCCGTCTTTCGTCTCTCTTTCGTTCTGCTCTTTTCTTTCCTTTTCCCCTTTTTACGAGACTAGGATCTCCCCTCGTCTATCGTTTAGCCGGCATCTAGGCGAATTCGAGCGTCAGCAAGCGCGCGATCTCTCACCCTCTTCGACTCTCCCCCGCTTTCAATTTTTTTCGCTCAATATCGCGACTTGCGAACTTTACACTCCCCTACCATCGCTTTTCGCGTTTTTCCCAAATTCGCCCTGACGCTCGCTGAAGGTCAAGATTCCGTAGAGGGATGTAGTTTCTTACGAGGAGACCGGCGCGGTCGGCTACGCTGTCCTTGTCGACACCCGTCACGTAGATCCCGAGGCCGTATTCCAGACCGCCGCGTATCATCAGGCCGAGGGATTGGCCGTGCTCGATGCACAGCTCTACCTTCCGTGTCCTCGGGCCGTAGCGGGGGTCGCGGGGTAGATGAAGAGGCGGCGGTGAGGTCGGGCGACCTTGACGATCCATCCAGCTGCAGGATTGCTGGCGACCCGAGGATGACCACACGGGGTGACCGCCCCGACAGCGAGGATCCAACGCGGGTCCTCGCACCGTCATGCTCAGGGTCTTGCAGGACTTCAGCATCTGTCGAGAACGGCATCGCGAGACGTCGAGACGTGCGTTCGAGAACAAGTACGCGCGCTGTCATTTGACTCTCGAGGGAAACCAAGACATAGGCGTTCTCGCGTGTTATTCGCAGCTGAACTCTTGAGGGTTAACAGCTCGAACTTGAGCTCACAGGCAGGATCCTTTGATTAATTTATACACGATGAGCGGCCATCGCGGGCCGCCTCAACGCAGCTCTGCGGATAGAAAGTTCCCAGAACGCGCTTTAGTTGCGAATTGCCGCCAACAGCGTTTCGACAGATGCTTCGAGCAAATAAACGAGAGAATCGGACGGTCTTTTTTCCGGAAAAACAGCGCGAGACACGGCGATGTCGGCGGATGGAGGGGGGGGGGGGAATGGGTCGTTTCGTACAGGTGAAATAGGCGAAGTTAACGAAGAGCGAACGATGCGTTTGGCGGTGACGCCACTCGGCGGCCAGGATATCGATCCTCCTGGCAGCGCCCGTGACGTCACTTCCTACCTATCCTTGACCCAGCCCGGATCCACGTCCTTAGGATCCCGCGGTTCGGAAGACTCGGGTCTCCTCTCCCTCTCTTTCTCTCTTTTTCTCGCGCTATATGTCTGTCTGCCGTAACTCCCGGTCCCTCCTGCCCTCATCGCGAACGCGGAGAATTTTCCCGGCGGCAGAGGGGAAGAGACGGCTTTCCCTCTCGTCATAACGCCGGATGCCTCGGAGTAAGGGAGCATGAAACTGTCGTCTCGTTTCCGCGACTATGCGCCGTTGCGCCTCGCTGGAGCATTGCATTTGGCGGATGTGTTTTCGCGACGATCCCCCTGAATAAATTTCTGTAACGAACAGGGAAGGAGCGGCCATAAACCGCGTCTGTCTCTCTCTCTCACTCCTCCCCCTCTCTCGTTGCCTCGGTTATCAATTTTTTGCCTTGAGAACTACTCCGTGCAAATTGGATGGCTGATTTACACGCGCAAGATGGCGGGAGACAGAATTTCCGAACTTTCGACCGCCGGTCTTTGTGAATTTTTAATACGCTCCATATTGCGGAGAGAATTTTCTGCTGGGGAAGAGAGGTATCTTTATTTTTTTTTTTTTTTTTTTTTTTTCTTTCTGTTAGCAGCTGCTTCGAATTTGGAAATTTTTGCCAGACGATGGCGGCTGATGCAGCATTTACACGCGTCACAAATGTGTCGGGGTGAATCGGCAAAATTGGACTTTGGAAGAGACTGTCTCGGCATAAGAAGAAAGAAAAGCACATAGATTCCTCTGATAATTTCAACGAATAGCAGCGTTCTCTCTTACCTCCTTCACCTTTAATTCTACCATTACCTAATTTACCTCGTTGAACACGAATGTAATTTCGTGGGTTGTCGCCTACATCGGCCGACAATGATCGCATTGCCGATCGCGCACCGTCAGGCTCGGCGTATCCCCACGGCTCCCAAGATCCTTATCGCTCTTTCAGCCGAGTGTTATCGCGTACGAGAGAAATTAATGTCAGACTAAGAGAGCGCCTGCGAGAGTAGACGAAGGGCCGAGGGAAAGTGGCGCTTTCGTGATCGGCGTCCGTCTCCGGCCGGCCAATTAAATAAATAATTCATAGGGGAGGGAACATCGACCGTCGAAGCGGCGGCCCGCGCGAGTCGAACCGGACGAGAGGTATCGTTATCGCGCCGGCCAGGACCCCGTCGCTATTTCCGGCGCCCACGTCACCCACGTCGGTCCGCAAAACAGAGAGAGGGGGGAGTTCGCGTGCACAGCGCATCGTCGTATTTTCGATTAGTCTTCGAGAGCGACCAAGCTGCGTCGCAGTTGGTCCGCGAGTTATGGTGCCATCCGGCGGATATCGTCCTGATCATCGCTCTCGACGGCGAGAAATCTGCGCTTTCTGGGTCAATCATGGAACGGATCGACCCTCCCCCCTCTCTCTCTCTCTATCTCTCCTCGATCGCGTGTCCTCGCTCATTTATGATAATCCCGGAGTATATCCTGGAGTCAGCTGTATTATCGAGAGTTCGCGGCGGAGTTTCTTCTTCCCCTCGTGCTCTGTTCGAGGAAGGAGGGGGATTATTCGTCATCAGGATTATCTCTGAGTGGGAATCGCCCCCCGTTGCGGAGTTCGGGAAGTAGCAAATTTGGGAATCTAGTAATTTTGGAGTTTCGATCATCGATTATCGGGCGCTCCGAATCTGTCGGGGCTCCGAAGAAACGTTGCCTCGAGTACGGACGTTTCGCGATGAGATCTGTGAAACATCTGTCGCTCTTTACATCTATAGTTTCCCGTTGTGATCCCGTCGGTGAATAAACCGAGCGAGGGAAATATTTCCGATTGCCAAATCAATTTAAATGTGAGACGTCTGTCTCAAACAGTCTGAACTGTCTGTCTGAAACAGTCGGCGGAGAAACATCGGCGAGTGCCGAGCGGCCGTGATTAATCAATTAAGAAGTACAGCAATATCAATTAAAGTCAATTAAGCCTCCGTGCAATTCCTCGAGGAGAACGAGGTTGAAATGGCGAGCGATATAGCGCTCCTTCGCGAAATTTCCGCACGAACGTCGCCATCCTCACCCCCGGCACGACTTCATATAAAAACTTCCAAAGAGATTTCCAATCCCAAGTAACTCTATTTATTTCGCTATCGTCGGCCGCTGCCATTCCCTCCCTCCTGCCAGGAGGGAGCCGTACTCGCGGGAGCTCCGTGTATATTATGTAAACAGAATAAATGACGGGGGGTTCGCCGGAGGGCGCCGGGTCGCCTGGCGCCGCCACGTCGTTGTCCGACGACGAGCAGCCCGCCGCGGCAAGGAACAGGCGAGACTGGACCTTCTTCTTCGGGGAGAGAGAGAGAGAGAGAGAGGGAGAGAGCCCCACATTGTTTGCCTACGCGGCTACTCGCAAGCATCTCCTCGACGAGTCATTACGAGATAACGAGTCGCGCCGCCACCGTTATCCTTTACGATCGCGCTCACGTCGAACCGAGGGCAATTTAATCCGCCAGTTTCCGTCTGATCGATGCCGGACAGAAGCGAGGTCCGCGCCCGCCCCGCTCCTCCGGCTCGAGCCGGACGTCGCGGTCGATCGGCGGGGCGGAGACGAGTCGCGATGTCGAGCTGATAGCAATTGAAATATCATTTCGGCGGCAGTTCAATATTTTTCACGTTATAGCGAGGGAAAGCGCGACGTGTGTTCCGCCGTCGAGGCGCGGCGACGCTGAAAAAATCAACGGGGGCGAGAGGGGGAGGGCCAGTTCGATATCGCGAGCCGAAAGGACGCGGGCGAAGACGCGCGATGAATAAATTAGAGAGGGCGCCGCGTGCTCTCGACGGCACGCCGGCGGTGAGGAACGCGAGATTGTTCGCCGCGTCTTGATTCGCTCAGCCCTCGACCGCCGCGGCGGTTTTAAAGCGGGCAACGCGAAATCGAGAGACACACACACACACCGGCGAAATGGAGAGACATCAGAAAACGAGACCGCGTCTCACAATCCGGCGCGCTGACATTTCAAATCGAGGGCTCGACGCGAATGCATTTGCACCGGGAGACGCGCTCACCGAGCGGAGAGAGCGCAATTTCGTCGGAAAATACGGTGGAGTGGCGGCGCGCTTTGCGTAAAACGTCGGCGGACACGCCCGGATTATTTTCGCGTCTGTATGTTAAGTCTCGTCTCCCCGTCGCGAGAATAAAATATTTCGCCGAATGGGGGAGAAAGCGAGCGAGAGAGAGAGAGAGAGAGAGAGAGAGGCATGTTCTCGCGTATACATATTTATGAATATTGCATTTCGCGGATATCGCGTAGTTGAAATCCACTTACCGGCGAATTTTTTTCTCGCCACGGCATATTTGCGAGCAACAACGAAGATCCTTGGACTCGCGCGGAAAGTTTTGTCTGAGAAATACCGCGACTCGTTCGTGCCGGCGTAAATGCCGGCGTAATTCCGAAACCGCGGAAAATCCCACCCCTTGAGATATCGCGAAACGTGCATCTCACGGCAAAGGAGGCTCTGCGGACTGTCTCGATATCTCGTGGTCTTCGGTACTGACGCTTGTTTGAAAATTCACTCGCAGGGTAAGCGCGAGGCTCAGAGAGTCCTGCGTTCTCGCGGTATTTCAGCGAGTCGGCGAAGAAAGCACGGATATTTTTAGGATGGCGCTTCCGGCCGGCACTTTACGTGGGTGACCAGTTTTCCGAAAATCGCGAGGCGGGTTGGAAGGAGGGTTCCGTTGATCTTGAAGTTAATTTGACGTTGAACGGCGCGACAGGTAAGAAGAGCGGTCGCGCAAATTCCCGAGCACACGCACGTCGCACAGGGTTGTTGAAATCGCGCGGCCCGCAGCGAGGGGCTCGGAGGGGGTGGCCAGTGACGGAGGGAATTAAGGCCGGAGTTGCTAAATATTTTTACGTCACACATATAAACTTTACATCGACGAGCGACGACGTGGGCTATACAGTCGATCGATTCGACGACGGGAAGGCACGTATCTAGAAGACGACGCAAGGAAGGGTAATCAGGGATGGATATAGACGCCGCGACCCATTCGCTCACCCTCCCGTGACAGCGATTTTTCCGGAATATCTTCGGGCTAAGTCTCTACAACTCGACCTATATCCTTCCTTTCGTTCTACGCGCCTATCGATCCCTGCGCGATCCTTTAGCATTTCCCTCCTCCAACTCCCCCCCTCCCCCCGCCGCCGCCGCCGCCGCCCCGCGTACGTCGTATCTTAACATTCAGCACAAGGTTACCGGCGTTTTCTAATCACACGAATTCCTTTTGTAGACACTAACATAAAGCCACGACTGCGACGAACCGGACTGCCGTTTCGACCGGATCGTTTCCTCTGCTTTGAATACGAATAATCAATAAATAATGAATCTCAATAGTGCGTGCAATTGAACAATACGTGGCGAGAGAGAGAGAGAGCGGCCGCGCCATCGTGGCGAGAAACCATCGCGCGGTGAGAATTGGGTGTCTCTCGCGTTTTCTCCGACACTTCTTCGCGCACATTTTATTCTCGCCTCAACTTACCGCCGTATTTGGACACGCTTGGTTTCACAATGAATGTGTCACACGGTGAATCGTGAAAATTAGAATCCTCCATTTCACCAGATAAACGATGCAGATCCGCGACAGCTTTGGATGAAAAATACGTAATTCAGAAGGTGCAAAATTGACGAGTAATTCAGGCGAGTAGTCGAGGCGAATAATTTCGCCGGAGGAGGAAGCTCCAAAGTATCGAATCAATGCGAATTGCGTTTAACATCCACGCGCTTCAGCCAGCCGTCGTCGGCTCGCGCGGAGAAGGCGTTACGAGGCAGAGTCGTCCGAGTGGAAGGAGCTGCCACGAGAGTAATCTCTGCTGTAAATGGCCCTGACGACTATCTCTCGGCGCGTATCTAGCTATTCCCAACGGCAGCTCGCGAGGCTCAAGACAAAGAACTGTCGAGAACAGAGAATAGACGTCGTCGACGTGTCTAGTCGGTCGAGAGACGCGAAATTCGTCGGCAAGCGCGCCGAGCTTGTCGCGCGTGATGGAGCGCGATTTTTTGCGAAAACTGCCCGAATTGTCTAATTTCTCGACCGGCGAGGCGCCGCCGCGGCCTTTCTCCCGCCCGGCACTTTAACACACTTTGAAAAACGTCCCTCGCGCGGAATTGCACTCGGGATCTCACAGCTCTCGCGCTCGCTCTCTCTCTCTCTCTCTCTCTCTCTCTCTCTCTCTCTCTCTCTCTGTCGCAAACGCGCGTCTTTTTTGACGTCTGCGCACGGGAATGGGGCGGGCTCATCCGACTTTCCCCGCGTTCAAGTTCAGCCTCAAATTCGCCCTGCCGGGCGCTCCGATCCGAGCTCGCTCGATCTCGAATTGAGATTCACGGCGAAATATTCGCTCGCGAGCGCGCGCCAGCGCAAATTGGCACTCGACGGGGAGAGGGAAGCTTTCAACTCTCCACGTGCGCGAACATTCGGTTAGTGTTTGCCACTTGCGAGCTTGGAGCGTGTGTGCTAACCAGGCGACAATGATATTTCCTTGAATCGTTTAGCCGACGGATCAAAGAGCGCCCTTCGCCGGTGCTCGAGAGCCGGCGCGCTTGCGCTCGCGCGAGACTGAGTTTCTTCAGGAAGGCAAGCCTCTCGCGAGACTTTTACGGCCCACGTGTGACGTCAAAGACGTCAAGGTTCATTAACGAGGCACCGTTTTCGTCTCGCGAAACGCGAGATCTCTCGCCGCCGCGATCGAGCTGTTTTCATCCCTCCCCCTCCTTCCCCGATCGACGGGGTGATTGCGAGCGAGGTAGGTAGTATAGCGTAGGTCGCAGAAGCGGCGGAAACTTCAAAGCGCGCGGATCAAGTGCCGTTGGAACAGCAGCGACTTCAATTTCCGCCGCTACTTGCGAGTCGAGTTCCCTTGATTACAGGGGATTTAGTCCTTCATTAAAGATGCAGTATTTTCTCCTTTTCTCCTTTTCTTCCTCTCGGAGAGGCTTCTCCCGTCGATGAATCGATGAATCGGTCGATAAACGAACGCGAGTTTCGCGCGATCGCAGTATTTGGCGGTATCGTCAAGCTCCCTTTGAAGGGTGATGCGAGCGCGGAAAGGAAGAGTCGAGGGAAAATGCGAAGGAAATCACGGCTTCCTCGCATTGTACAGAAACGTGAAGGACGCGAAGGAGAGCGGTTGATCTCGAGGCCGCTTTTCGTCCCCCGGTTATTTGCGCCGGGGATTCGCAGATGCTCTAAGTTTCCTCGCTCTAATACGGTCGAGAAGGTGGGAGAGGGGGTGGGGTCGTAGAGCAGCCGGAGATCGATGAAGCCGTCTCTCTAAGGTCAGTCGTAAATATCAGATGCGTCTGAGCGATTATGGCGGATCTAGAGGCGGTTGTTAATTAGGCTCACCCTAATTGCTCATTTTTGCTGCCGTTTTTGCCGGGCGACTTTGGCGACGGAAGTCTTCTCTCTGTCTCCCTTTTTCTCTCGATTCGGGGGGCGGCGACGACGCAGCAGTTCGCAGAAAGCGCAGAAAGAAGCCCCCGCGATTTCGTATCAGCCCCGCTCGGGCTGATCTGAACGATTTAAATTTCGCTCACGGCGAAATTAGCCCTCCGGGAATTCGATTGTGAATCGTGTGTTTCCAGAAGCGAAACGTTTCGATCGGGGATTCGCTCGACGAGATTCCGCGAGAAATTTATAGCGATTTCCCCCGGCTAGTCGCCAAAGTTTCCACGGCACCAACGAGGATCTCGAATTGATTTCTGATGGGGGTAAAATCGAGCTCGTAAAATTAATCAGAGGGATCAGAGGAGCGCCGAGTTTGTCGAGAAGACGCGGATTTGTTTCGTCGGGGAACAAAGGAAAGGAAGAAGAAGCGATCCCGCGACACGTCGGACACGCGAGCGTGTCGCCAGTTTCACAACGTACGGCACGAGAGATTAATGAGACACGTCAGGGGAGAAAGGGGGGGACCGAAAGAAATTTGTACGCGAGTCACGTCTCGAGGACCGAGCGCGCTATATTTTTCTCATCTTCGTGTCTCCAAAGTCCCCGGTCGAGGTCTCTCGCGCGCGCGACTGGAGAAGTGCTGGGCGATGGCACCGACAGAATTAGAGGAGGGTTGTGGGCGACGTTGAGGACTCGCGCGCGAGCTTGCAGATAGCGGACCAAAAGTTGACTTACTTTGAGGGCCTCCTCGTGAGTGACGGCGCGGAAGGGTGTGCCGTTCACCTCCAGGATGGTATCTCCTGGCCTGAGTCCAGCGCGTTCAGCCACCGAACCTTCCTCCACCCTTGAGATGTAGACGCCCACCCCTGAAAACAATTGGCAGACTTTCCATCAGGACCGGAAGCTGCCGCGCTACGCCGGTACGCGCGTTCAGTACCAGCTAAGACCTTCCGCCCATGACGCGCCCGAGTGATTTTCATTTCGCTCTGTCAAACGCAAGCTCCCTCGATCCTTCGCGACCCTCAGATCCTCCCGACAAATAGGAAGGGGCAGTTTGTTCCGCAATGATAAAAAAAAAATTCAGTAACGCGGGGGTGATATCTTGCAGCTGGATTTTTCTAATTTTGATGTATTATTTGCACAAGAAATGTGCCCCACGTGAAGCGAATACGTTTTCTCTCGACCGATTTTTCCGAAACGTAAGACGATACAGGAGGCTGTTTCAAAAGACGCGACATCTCGGAAACGGCGACTCAGCAAATAGAGATCTTACGAGGGCGTGGACGTGATTCTCGACGATTATCGGGTAGATGTCAATAAATTAGCGTTCACGTCTAAGATTGAAGATGACGTGTGCCCAGTATGAAGGCGAGAGAGGAACCTGTTGGCAGTTTTATAACAAGCCAATTGAATTTTCGGCGGAGCTGGCAAACTTCCCCGGTGTACTTGTTGAGTCGGACATAATAAACGCCATGGGCAGAAATATCGTGAAAATAGAAGAGAATGAAAAAAGACGTATGCGGATGCATCAAAGTGAGAAGTGGAGTACAGAAAAACAGCGTGTCCGTTGGTGCGTGTGTGTGTGTACGTATGTGCACGTGTACGTGTATTCATGACAGAGAGAGAGAGAGAGAGAGAGAGAGAGAGAGAGAGAGAGAGAGAGAGAGAGAGAGAGAGAGAGAGAGAGAGAGAGAGAGAGAGAGACATGCATATATTGTTCAAAGAATCAAAAGAGAACGTGATTGCATCGCATGATGTGCATCGTGCTCGCGTTATGCAGTTACGATATTTCTGTATCGCATTATTTACGTATATATGTGTATGTACATGTACATGTGTATATTTCTGAGCGTTCGTCCGCGTTCGTATTTTTCATTGCATCGAGAAAGCAATAATCGATAACGACCGATGGCGACTCCCCGGAGCCGCCGGTCGTCTCTCATGAATTTTTGAAGATCCGCGGGGATGATGCATCTATACGGTGTGAGCAAAAAGATGCTCGCATACGCGTGTGACGTAAAAGGGCGAGGAGATGGTTCCGACGAGTTGGTGGACCGATTTCGCGATGAGCGCTCTCGCATGTCGTTGCAACATGACACAGTTGTGTTTCTAGATATATACGGTATTTCCGCGCTTCGTGAATCTAATCTTTACCATGGAGAAATATCTAACGTGTGTATATAATTGTACGATGATAAAAATTTTTAATTGTATAGGTGTATACAGGATGTACTGGAAAGATGAGTACTTCAGACTGTAATTTGAAGGGATGACGTTTTTGAAAAAAATGTTAAACACAAAAGCTTTAGGATTTGGAAGTGGGCGTCTACTGATGATGAACTTAAACTTGAACTAGGGATCAAATTTAGGAGTCGCATCAAGAGATCAATTTTAAAATTATTCTACCAGTTAATTTAAACAACTTTTGTCTGAAACATTTTTTTATTTACCTGATATTGTTTGAGATTTTTATGGAAAACTTGGTAACTTTTGTAAAATTTCGGAAAAAAGTGGGGAGTACTAGACTTTTTTACCTTTTTTGGTCTCAAGAATATGCTGTTACAGTAATGCCCTAATTTTTAATTGATGGCCTTTGGGAATTTCGAAATTATCAAAACTTTTGTATTTATCATATTTGCCTAATATTTCTTGAAATATTTAAGGAAAACTTGGTAACTTTTTCAATATTTAACTTACGATATCTCGCTGATTATTCGTCGAAGGAAAAAATAGTATTAGACTTTTTTACTTTATTTACTATCGAGAATATATTACTGTAATAGTGCCCTAACTTTTGTTAACTTATCGACTTTTGGAAATTTCAAAATTATTAAATTAACAAAAGTTAGGGCACTATTATGGTAATATATTCTTGATAAGTAAATAAAGTAAAAAAGTCTAATACTATTTTTTCTTTCGACGAATAGTTAGCGAGATATCGTAAGTTAAATGTTGAAAAAGTTACCAAGTTTTCCTTAAATATTTCAAAAAATATTAGGCAAATAAAGAAATGTTTCAGACAAAAGTTGTTAAAATTAATTGGTAGAAAAAGAAGATATAATAAAAAATTGGGCTTTCTATTAAAAAAACTTAAGTTAACCTTCAACTGACCTTGAAAACGCCCTCCTCCTAAAAAAACTGATAATGCCATTCTCTTTCCCCTTCGAAACCATGGAACACGTGTTTCAACTTTTTTTAATATCTTTCATAGTTTTCGAGATTTTTTACCTATTATGTTTGAAATTTAGCACCCTGTATATACCATATACACACACACACACATACACACTCTTTGTGCAATTTATACAATTCTTCACAGCTAGAATACACACATAATTGTAATAGCTCCAATTACATCGCGCGAAATCGCGAATGATTATTTCGTCTTCTCCAAACAATCGAGACATTGATATGATTTTTCGTCGTTCTTTGTCGGTAGTGATACATCCACAGTTGTGTGTAAAGAGACGTGTCGTATGTGGCGAAGCGACAAAGAGAGATAAATAGATAAAGATAAAAAGAGAGAGGCAAAGGAAACGCGACAACCAGGGCGCGAAAATTCGTGAGATTTCACGGTAAGCCTACCCGCTCGAGCGGGGTCGAAAGTGCATCAAGGCGCGGCTTCAGGGATTTCCTTCGAATATCAACGAAATCTCCCTTCCGTTCTGTTGATCACGTTGTCAGTTACTTGTCTGGCTCATCTTAGGATCTACATTTCGTGCCGCTCGAACGGCTGAGCTCATCGCAAAGTCTCACGTGCATTTCCATTCTGCCGATGACACGTCGAATCGCACGCTCGAACTGCATTTCTGCGGCTCGTTGTTGGCTGTCCTTGTCGAGGTCGACGCGAGTCCTCTGACCGACGAGAGAGAGAGAGAGAGAGAAAGCGAGTCTAACGATCGGTCGAGATGAAAATAGTCCGTGTATGCAGTTGCTCTCTGTATCGCCGAGATGTGTATTCGAGACGGGAGCGCAGTTAATTGAGCATTTTTCACGGCTCCTTTAACCGCAATTTGATTCCATTCTCTCGTCATTGTCATATACAGGATGCTTCGCACAAAGCGTCAGCGCGGAGCTTCTCGGGATTATCTCCCCTCGCGTAATTGCGTTTCCAAATGAAGCGACATTTTGCGCTTCAAGGTAATCTTCTTTCGAGGAAAATTTGATCGAACGAAAACTCTGCCAGCACAGTTTGAATTTCCAGCGTCGATCGTCACGGTAGCCGCGCGCGCGCGTAATGAAATTTGCATGTTAACGAAGTTCGTCCGGGGTCGATTCAAAAATCGAGCTCACTTGTCCGACCCAGAATTATCATCGCGATTGACGATGACCTGACTGGCCGCCGCTTGATTGATCCCGTTCGTTTTTCGTCCCGAGCGTCTTTCACGCCTGTGAAAGCGATCCGAGATTGGCGTCTCACCCTGGAAAGCACCCTGTATACGAGGATCATTCACGAGACGTAGAAGTTGCGCGCGACGATTCCGGGCGCGAATAGGCGTGAAGGCATTTTCACTTCTGTTTAAATGACACTTGTAAGAGAGCCGCGGCGGCGGCGTGTCGTTTCGAACGTTCCGCTTTACGGTGCGCGGTTTCCCGAGTGCGCGCGGCACTGTATTTGATTTTTCGAGCTTTGTGACCGACGAAAGTGTAGACAGAGGCTGCTCTCTCTTCTACGCGCTCATACACACTACACGCATATGCATTGTACACCCATGCAACGAGCTGTCGGCGTGCCAAGTCTAGAGAGGAAGTAGCTTTCTGACAGATACTCGTGGTGGAGATGCGTTAACCCTCCTTTCTCTCGTGGAGTTACCTGACTGCGCTTCTGGTACAGCGAAACAGAAAATAAGAATGACACAACGCATGTTGGCTTGTTCTCGAACCGGTCGCGGGCGATGGCGAAATTCGCAGAAAGCTCAAGCGTCAACCCCAAGTGAGAGAGCCTCAGCTCTGAGCTCGCAAAAGCTCGTCATCGGCGCTTTTTAAATGAGGCTGCTGTTGCTGCTTTACGCGCGGAAACGCGCGGCGGCCGCGGCGGCGAAACGATATCGGGGATCGTCAAAGGGGAGGCGACACAGTTGCGAGCCGAAATATCGTCGAGCGCGCGAGAGCAGCACTTCTCCGGTCGAGTGTTTAATCGTACGCGTGTTTGAAAAGATATCTCATATGCGTCGATTGTGCACGTTTAATTTAAAAAGACGTCTGAAAAAGACACGTAAAAAGGCAAAAGATTGCGAGTGAAACTAATGAAATTAATTCGGGATTTTTTTATCTTCGACGGCTCGTCCAGGTATTTTCAAACGCAGAGAAACGCAGAGATCTGATCCCGGGGTAAAAAAGCGCCCTTCCGCGGGAGGAGCGATTATTAAATTTTTTCTCGTGCGAAATTGCAATCTCCGACGACAGAGGGAGAATTTTACGCTCGAGGCGTAATGAAACTCTCGATAACGCGAGAAAAAAGAGTCTGCCGGCAGTTTTTTCGACTTTCTGCGAATTTCAGCATCGTTTGAAACAGGTTTTTAGTGACGCGCGATCTGCGCGACAGGCAAGACGAACGAACGGGTCTTTTGAGGCCGCTCGCGGGATGAGAGAGAGAGAGAGAGAAAGAGCTTTTCGGATTTGGTGGTTTCACGCTCGAATTCACGGCGATGATAAAGCTCGTCAAGCGACAGGGTAACCAGCGCGCGCGCGTGTGTGTGTGTGCAGCGTCAGTGCGTGATTAAGCGTGAAGTTTAACACTCGCAGTCTCCCCAGCGATCGTGACAGACCGCGTGCTGTCGAATCGTCCTGCGGTTGTGCGATATCGCATTTTTCGCGAGTCGTTGAACTCGTCGGGGGCAATCGAGAATATTGCGATGCAATACACGCGCGTTAAATGTATCTCGCGTTATCCCGCGATACATGATATATCTCGTACGAAAGATCCGAGGCGTTACAAATCAGGCGCGTATTTGTATTTTTAACGCGATTTTCGCACGATAACTCTTCGCCGGGAAGTTTTCCGCGTTAATTTCTCACCTAACCCGAGATCCCGCGTCGAATATTTCCGATATCGGCAAAAGGCTTCGGGCCTCGAATCGCGGAGTGTCCGGTTAAGGGAAAATTTCATATTTCCTCAACAGGACGCACCGCGAGAGAGTTACTTTGATTTATCTCTGAGAGCGCGAGGATTAAGAGGCTTCGCAAGACCGCGAAACCGGATCCCCAGCCGCTTTTGTTATGTTAATGATTTTAAGACGGCACTCTCGCGCGTCCTTGCTCGCCTCGCCTCGTCACGAAGCGGATCCCGCACGCGGAGGCCCTCCGTGGAGCAGTTCACTTGCGCGGAACCTCTCTGGAAAAATGCGCAATGCTCGCCCCTCGGGGACGCGCATCGAAAAGTGCTCGGGGAGAGTTGAAAACTAATAGGGGGATAATCGCATTACGTTGGAAAGATAATCCGTGCTTGTGCAAACGGAGCTTTTAACGTTCCGCACGTAGTAATCGCTTTTCACCGTTATGGATCTTTGAAGTATTTCTTTCACTTTGTGAGTCGCGCGGGAGCACGAGAAGTTTCATGTGAAGCAGCGTTTCTAGTAAGTAAGAATTAACTCGATCATTATATATATTGCGCGCTCGATGAATTCAGACGCGCGCGGTAGAGCCACTCGCAATCGGAGATTAATCGCGTTACGTTACGAAGCGGCGAGTCCGAGATGAATGGCGGTCAGTTCGAGAAATTGCAACGGCGGCTATTAATTAACAGTTAACAGCGTGAAGCTTGTACTCTTTTTTTTTCTTTTTCTCGGCGAGATCGAGTTTCCCAGAGAGATTCCCGAGCGAAACGACGGCAACGACCAACTCCGGTCGTGCGATTTGCGGCGCAAACGCGTCTCTCGATGGATCGATAGCTCATTATCGCATCGAACGGCGAACCGAGTAGAGTTTCACCCCACGCGAGACGAGAGAGCGAGAGAGGAGGAGCGAAAAACGCAGGGAGGAGGCAGGAGAGAGAGAGAGAGAGAGAGAGAGAAACGCGCGCTTGTTTCTCCTCCTCTGCCGAGTTCGCGTGCAAACAATCGTCGCTGCGGCGGAAAACAATGCTTAACAATCGTGAAAATGTTTTTGCCCTGCTTTTTCGTCCCGGCGAGTACCACCGCGTCCTCGCGTCCTCGCGACGCGACGGACGGGAACATTTACTGGCCGCCCTGATCCGCGAATAAATACTCCGGATGAATTCGCGTATGTTGGGACACGAGCGAGTTGCGCGCGATTAAACGTTTTAGCTGCTGAGTAAGGAGATTAATTATCGGCGGCAATTGAAGCGATTGTTCTTTTACTCGATCGTGAGTTTGCAAACTTGACGATCCCGGAGTGGAGACTCCGAGGGAATGTTCCGCTCTTTCAAAGAGAGAAATGAATGAATTTCGTCGACTGTGCAATTCTTCTCCATTCCGCGACACGACCGCGACGAAATCGATCGACGGGTCGATGCGATTCAGCGCCCGCTGCCGCGGCGACCGAGAGAATGCGCAAGGACGATTCGCTGATCATATGCTGAAGCACGCACAAGCGCAAGGTGTGTCGATATGAGTGCCAATCGCGGTGACTTGGGCACACAGCGCCAGAAAGAAATAATGAATGACAAAGTTGCCAAGGAAACGGATTTGGTGGAAATCAGTGAGAGGCGAGTCATCTGGCGGATCGATCTCGATGCATGGAGACGTCCTTCGCGAACGTGGCCGAAAGCTGATCAATAATGCTGATAAATAATCTTCAACTCCGTCTAGTCAGAGACTAGCACGCGTTTTCTCGCGACACCGCGGAGCCGCGGGAAATTTGCGCGACAAGTCGGCGAGATTTCGTCGCGAGACTCGCGATACCGCGCGGAGATTCGCAGGAAAGCGCGCGAGTTCACGTCTCGGCGCAATTTCGCGCAGATTCGCGGGCAGTCACGGGCGGTCATCGATTCAATTCGGCGGTGTCAACTCGTCGCAGACAGCGCGATGAAATTCACAGCGACATTCCCGACTAGAAATTTTGATCAGGTTCACCTAACATTGATAAGGACCTAATAGGGTGAATGAAAGGTAATCCTAAGTAAGTCAGTCCTTACGACAATGTCCTAACGACAAATGAGTAAGAAAGACCTTTATAAGGTTATAATGATTGGGTCCACATTAGGACCTACATTGATGTACCAACCTAGCGTATGATATAATATGGTTCAGTTAATCAGGTCCTTGTCGGGATCTTATTCTTATTCACCACCTAATATGATTTGCATTATCAAGTTTTAACAAAACAACTTTTGGGTGTCATTTCCAAATATAAAGATATTTGCATTGAAAAATCACTTCAGGTCATTTGAATTGATATTTGTAAAATGCTATAGAAACTATCCTTTTTTTAGCAGTCAATAAATAGTTGTAAAATTAACGTGACATGCAACTTTTCTCCTTAACACTACTTTATGTCTTGTCATCTTGTGATACTTTCTGATCTTATGATATTCATTTTATGTTTCTTTTCCGAAACATTTTACAAGTATGCTCGAGCAATCTAAAATATTATTTCATGCAAATATCTTTTTATTTGGAAATGACATGAAAGAATTTTCAGCGCGTCATTTCTTATTTCGAATGTCATCATCCAATATAGCCGTGGCGAGTAATCAGGAGCCATAATTTGGAAAAAAAACGTAATAAGAATTCCATAAGGTAACTCAGTAAGGTAACCTGACTACGAACCCTTACTAAGGTCCTCGATATCTCCACGCTGCGCTACATGACTTACTGGGACCCGATAGTACCTTATTGGGACCTGATGTCCAAATGAGGTTAACCTGATCAGGAGGACCATGGGATAAATTTCTAGTCGAGTTAGCCGCGTTCAGGCTGAAATTTAGATTCGCCAATAGCCGTGCTTTACGTTTGCATGAACAACGCAAAGCCGAGTTAATTATTCCCGATAGTTGCAGCTCCCTCGGTGTTACATATCGCGCGGGCAATTACGTTTTCATCATACCGTCTCGTCGTACCGACCCGAGCACTTGCCGCAGCGAGAATTCGCGCAGGCAAAACGCGAATTTTCAACGAGGCGCGCGCGCGCGCGTTTCTTCTTCTTCTTCCTTTCGTTCTTTCGTTCACGGTCACCGTTGCCGGTTGCAGCTGCGAACGCCAGACGACTCGCACTGAGCGTACAAGTAGCACGTAACACGGCGCGGTTACACGATGATAGGTAACAAAGGTGATGCTTGGTTCGTTTCTTTTGCTTTTTTGCTTCTGTTCATTTTTGCCTTTTTCGTCTTGACGAGAGAGTTAGTGACGATAGTAGTTACAGAACTAACGTAGAGAGAGTAAACCGCTGGGAAAAAGTACCTCGTTCTCGAGGCACGAAGTACGGCGACGGGGGTAGCCTGAAGGTACTTCGGATCTCACCTGCGTCCTTGCCACCCTTCACGCAGATGCCAAAGCCATGGTGAGAGTCCGGCGGATCTCTCGTCATGGTGATTGTCCTTACGGTGAGCTCCTGCAGGCTGAGCGGCTGCGCGATCGGCGACGTGGGCGGGTTCGCGGCGTTGGCCTGCTGCTGCTGTTGCTGCTGCTGCGACTGCTGCGATTGCTGCTGTTGCTGCTGCTGCGAGCCGCCGGTCGGCGTGCTGCGAACCGCCGCGACGCTCGCCGGGCTGGACGCCGGCGTCCTCCGGTCGCCTTGTCGTCGCTCCGACGTCACGCTGTTGCCGAATAGTCTGCGGGAGATTGACAGTTTTATACGGTCAAGATATTGTCGGCTCTAGTGTGTGTGTGTGTGTGTGTGTGTGTGTGTGTATGCGTGTGGGTGTGTATTTCTGAAACTCCCGTCAAGCGGGAACCGTTCGGGCGCTTTTCTATTTTAAGACTCCGGCGAGTCTCGCTGATGTCTTTGCGACTCTTTTTCCTTTTCTCGACGCTGAGACAAGAGCAGATTAATCTCACTGAAATGATTGTCGCTCTTCCGACCAAAAATCACGACGATATGAAATTAGCCTCACCCGTACACTAGGAAAAATGTATTGTTGCGTGAACCAAAATTTTGTTGTAACAACAAAATAATTTGGTTAAAATATATGCCCAACAAAACTGTTTAATTCCTGCAAACAAATACAAATATCTTGTTTGATTACGGTTTGTTCGTATAACTCTTGTTATAGCAACCAGAAAGCTTCAACTGTAAGAATTTTGTTAAAAATACTATAATTTTTTCTTAATATATAAAATCTAAATTTTAGTGCACAGAAAGATAAAATAGTATCCATTGGGCATTGTTTTAGTTTACGTAAAATAATATTTCGTTATTTCGTAATTTTTATGGATAAAATAACTAAAATGCTTAATTCTTATATATGAAGTCCGAGAACAAAATCATTCGGTCCAGAGAACAAAGCAGAGAAATATATTCAGTTGAGACAACTGAATGTTTTGTTATATAAAACAAGATATTTGATTGCTATTAAAAACTGCCTCAACTAACCAGTTTGGTTAGAGATACTAAATTCTTTTTCCCGGTGTACCAGCACTCGCTGCAAGAATGTTCTCCCTCATCGTTATAGTTACACGAGCAGCGAACATTTTCCTTTCGAGTACACACGAGTATTTGATTCTTCGGATGGTCTCGGTCCCGGCCGAATTCCCAGAGGTCCCAGCGTGAGACCTTCTCGCGGCCGATACACGTGAACCCTCGTATCCGAGTGATCAACGTAACCGCGCGCGTGGTCGCCATTGCATGCCATTGCCGATCGATCAGCAGAGCCGCCGTTGGTTCTCGTACCTGAGCACCTGTTCCGGGGAGATGGCACCGGTACCAGCGGCGCCATGACCCCTATGTCTGTACGGGGTCGCGTGCGAGGAGTGATGATGGGGCGCGCTGGGCGGCCTCTCGACGATGGTGTAGCTGGTGCCGGGTGGGCTGTAGTAGCCGCGGTGTTGGCCGCCATGGTGCCTGCTGGCGGGCTCGAGGTCCTCGGCCTCGTAGCAGCCGCCGGTGCCGCTCCTCAGGAAGTGAGAACCGCTGCCGCCGCGCAGGAAGTGCGTGCCGGTGCCGGCGCCCCACTGCAGCTCCTGCAGCTCGGACCCGTAGTCCTCCGTGCTGCTGGCCATGCCTCGGGCGGTATCAGCTCGGTCACACCTGCCGGCCAAGCGAGCACGCGAACCAGTCAGTCGGTGGAATTAATCGCCCGCCGCGCGGAAAATATGCGAACGAATCTCTCTCTCTCTCTCTCTCTCTCTCTCTCTCTCTCTCTCTCTCTCTCTCTCTCTCTCTCTCTCGCTCTCGCTCTCTCTCTCTCTCGATCGCGCGGGAACGGCGCGTGCGATTAACAGGCTTTGAGGGGAATTTTTCGCGATTACAGGATAAGAAAGGAGAGAGAGAGAGAGAGAGAGAGAGAGAGAGAGAGAGAGAGGGCAAGGGAAGACATAAATCGCCGAGGCTTAATTCTTCTGCCTCGGTCGTCCGGAGGAAATTAGAAAAAGAATGCGCGGTAATGTTTATGACGATCTGCAGCGCGGCACTAGCTGCGAAAATGCTCTCGCCTGCGAGTTAGCTGGTGAAAACGTTCCCAGCGATGAGCGAAAACGAGCGGGCGATTTGCCGGCTAATTGACTCGCTCGGCTTATCTGTGCCTGTCCGTTGGTTTCGCGCCCGGCGCGGCGGTAACTTCGCTCGCAGATACCGCGCTTGAGAACTCACTTCGCGAGAGCAACTCTCTCGCCGGTCCGCATCTCCGCGCTGACGGCGAGCAGCGGCGAGTCACGTGAGGTCAGTGATGAAGACTCCCGACTCTCGAGCGACTGAAAGTGTGGCGAGCGAGCGAGCGCGGCGAAAGCCACACCGCGGCCTGAATTTCAGGGATGCCGGCGATTCGATCGATCGGGATTCGATCGTGAATTAGTCAGGACTCACCGCGGCCTCCCCGGGAGACAGTTTCGCGTTGGCGGGGCGAGCAGCCGTCGCTCCCGGCAGTCAAATGCCACGCGTCCGCTGGAAGAAAATCTTGTCGTGGAAAATTCCTTTGGTGCGAAAACACGAATGCCGCACGGGACGACGTTTCCTTCCATCGCGCGTAAGCTTCTGCCGCGCGCCGTGTCGTTCCAACTCGAATCGCCGCGGAGATTCTCGCGGAAATCGATACGCCGAAATTGCTCTCGTGTCTCTCGCGATTCGCCCCCGAATAATTCGCCCGGCCACGTCCGAGGCGCGGCGCGCGGCGGGGTGCACCGATTGTTTTCGCGCTAATTCGGTCCCGTTGATGTATTGATTAATTAATATATTAGTGACGGCAACGGAGAGACGCGAATTTGCGATACATTGCCGCGTGATTAAACGGCGATAGCGCGGCGTCGAGCGTTAGAATTTGGTGGCATCGTATGACACGTAGGAAGCCCGCATGTGGAAATTTGCACGCCGACGGGCTCTCGCGTGGGACAATTGCGATTTTCCGCTCGCGACACGCGTCCTCCTTTAGACTGGCGCGCGTCGGCCAAGACGCCGAGCAGCGCGCGAATATCGTCCGCGGCTTTATTTTCACGGCGCGCGATCGATCGCGCTTTTTTCGCTGTCGTTATCATCGGACGCTGCCGTGACGCGGGCCGATTATCGCGATCGATCGTGCGAAAGCGCGAGACGGGAATAACGAGACAATTAAATCCGTCATGCTGGAGACTTCCTTGTCGTGACCGTCTGGCGATCCGAGATAGCATCTTCACGTGAGCCCCCGTGGGCTCTCTCGCGGTAATGGCATCATTTTCTGGGACAAACCCATTCTAACGCCCTTAATGGCTTCAGGAAGTCTTCCGTTATCGCAGGAAGAAAGTCCAAAGTTAGTCCCGCGGAGAGAGAGAGAGAGAGAGAGAGAGAGAGAGAGAGAGAGAGAGAGAGAGAGAAAGAGAGAGAGGTGATCGTTGATAAACCGGTCGCTCGCGCGGCGTGCATACTCTGTCTCACCTCCCCCATCCCCCGTCATGCATCGCCACTTATTCGGTGTACTCGCGAGCTCGGTCGATTTTGCACGCTCATATTTCGCGCGAATTAATCAGTGTCGCGCCATGATCTGTCTCTTTTTTTTTTTCGCCGAGCGGTAAATATTAGGCAGAGGAAAATATTCGAGAGAACTTTTACACGCTCATTTGTCGCAATTAATACTGGTCCGTCACAGCGACGGTTTTTTACATTCTTGTTACATTATTATTGCAACGTCTATCGCGTCGTGACGAATCTCGCGAATACGCCGACTGATGACGAGATGATCGGTTTTACCCAAGTTGGGCAAGTGGCGATCGTCAATGGGTGGATATTTAATGGACGAGTGAGCCTGGAATGATTAACGAGTTCTTCCTCGGGTGACAATCGAGAGAGAGAGAGAGAGAGAGAGAGAGAGAGAGAGAGAGAGAGAGGGAGGAAGGGAGAGAACTTGAAGGAACTTTACACTCTCATCTGTCATCGTCAGTCGATATCTAAACGCGCTGTTCTCTCCCCGCGTCGCGATATAAACGTGCCTGCTCGTGAAATCAAACGACTCGTACTCCGCTCAATTACGCAATTACGTCATTAGCAGACTGAACACGCGACTTTCCGCGTGGTGTAACTTCCGCGACACGACAGCGACGCTGCCGTCCGTCCGTCGTGGCGGCTGAAGACAACCGCGCATCGCCTTCTCCTTTCGGAGAACTTGGCTTGGATTATCATGTTTAATCCACACGTCGCCTCGCATCGCCAAGTTCGCCGAGGCCGAGACGATAACATCTCCGATTCTACGACAACTCCATTCGCGACGGAATCTCACCTCACCCCTTCGCCCAGACCAGCCCCCAGAACTCCCTCTCATCAAGCGGTTCCCTCGTTCAACGGCACCAACAATTTGGCGACAGTCCGGCCCATCGCTGGCCGAGCCAACCTTGACACTGGAAGCAAGGAAGGCTCGTCCACGCCGACGGGGGTTGCTCGCCCCCTCGCTCGCGTTGGAAGTCGCCCCCGGACATGCCTGCGGGGGTCGCGCGCTCATCGTCGGAAGAAGTGGGCAGTAGACGCGAGGACTGTAGGCGAGGGGGACAAGCGGCGAGGCTTGCGTCGTCGTGTGTCCCTTCATGTACGAGGGTGGGTCGATCAATACTGCGGGAACACCTGAAGCCGGCTTCATTCAGTCGTCGCCGACGCTGCCGCGGCACCCATGCCACCCTCTCTCCTCCCCCGCTCGGGCGAGCGCGTTGGGACTCTTGGTGGCTACTATAGCCTCTCAGGGTTATAGTAGTACACGCGAGTCGCGCGCGCTAGAGGTTATAGAGCAGCGATTAGAGGCCACGGTAGAGCAGCTCGCGCAGCGGCATCGAGCCGGACTACTCGGCTTTTTACCGTTGCGACGCGGAGAGTCGCTCGTGAAAACTCGTAAAAGAAGAAAGGAAGGAACAAGGGGATGAGAAAACGACGACGAGAGTGGCGCCGACAGCGCGCGTTAGCTTTGTTGACACTCGTCGCGAATCGATAAGCTGATTAAGTGAAACGTCGGGGCTTGGGCGGGGGTTGCGGGGGGAGAGGGGGGGGGAGCGGATGAAGTTATGAGCGCGAAGTATGCCTGACATCTCGCTCTTTCATTCGCTCGCTTCGCTGGGCCAGCTGAGCGCCAAGTTGAATCGGGCTAAAGCGAGAGTAATTGCAAGTAGAGTCTCCGAAGCGGTTTCAAGGAACTGTGACTCTTGGAAGTAATCATCCGCGCGCGAGATAAGCGTGTTCCCCCCGAAAAGGAGGAGGGAGGGAGGAGGGTGAGTGAAAGGATCCTCGAGTGTGTAATCCTTCGGAGCGAATATCGAGACGATTCGGAGACTTTGCTGCGCGCACACGCGTTCACCCTCGAGGGTGAAGTCCAAATTCCTGGGGCGAGTGGCGAACGAAGAAGACGGCTGTTAAAATTAGCGCGTTATTCTCGCCGCCGGAGAGGGCTGCTGCGAGTCGCGTGTTTAGAATTTCGGCTGGGGCGCGCGCGCGAGATGAATTTATATCCCCCCCTCCCCCCCCTCTCTCTCTCTCTCTCTCTCTATCTCTTTCTCTCTCCGGGGATGAACCATTTCGGACACGCGGGACGATAACTGCCTCGACAAAGGTGAAAGGTGGCACAATATTTTGCGCGTCATCCTGTTTCCTTTTAAAGTCGCGCGAGCGAACGCGCGCGCGCGCAAGCGACGTAAAAGGGCGATTTTTCAACCGCGTGTATCCCCGTCGCCGATATATGACGTATCGATTACATGAGAACGAGCGGTAAAAAGTGCGCGACGAGACGTCGATAATAAATCGCGGGAGCCCGCACGTAGTTGGCCGCGGGCCCGGCGAGAACTATTCATAATGTTTGCACGAGTAAGAGGGCGGGAGGGAGGAGGGGGATCCGATGGACGACGTGCGTTTTATGCAGATGGCGAGGTATTAATCGGGTGTTCGCAAAGAAATGTAAATCCCGACGGAACGAAGTTATCTGGCACGGCCAAGTGGCTAGCCGATGCAAAGTTAACCCCTCTGACACACACACATTCACACAGAGAAAGAGAGAGAGGATCGCGAGGAGTGTTGCCGCTCGTCTCTCTTCCTCTCCCTCTCTCTCTCGTTCGCCCGTTCCACTTCATTTGCTTTACTCCGCAGGGGTGAGTCAATATCCAAATAAATCCGCCGCTAATGACACGCGTTCGTGCCAACGGAGTGAACGCCTTACGAAGCCGCCGTGAATATCGCAAGGGATCCTTGCGGAGGCACATGCCTCGCGTCTAAAGGATCGCTTTTCACGAAGAATGGCGCCGTGCGTTTATCCTCCTCGCCGATTCCGTGTGCGTATAAAAGAGCTCGTGACTCCGTACTCTTATTCCGCCGGCCGGCGGAATCGCGTTCACGGCCCATAAAGGCTTATTTATCGCGCCGCATTGTAACGGCGAGGGAGGCAGAGAGAGAGAGAGAGAGAGAGAGAGAGAGAGAGAGAGAGAGAGAGAGAGAGAGAGATAGAGAGCGCGCCGCGAGGAACGGGAACGTGCGGACGGCCCCGGCGGAATTTTGAATTCGCGCTCGCTCTTGTGTAACCGCGTTACATTCCCGTCACGTCACAATCGCCGCGGCGTGGATTGTGATTGCAGTTAATCCTTTCACAAGCGCGCCGG